CAGCAACAGTGAATACTGCTACAGTGGCGGCGCTGATGCCCGCATTCACAGCTGGAAGATTCCAGACCTCAACATGGATCCCTATGATGGTTATGGTGAGGACGACCCCTTGCGTTCCCTCCCACCCCCACCTCATGTCCCCACTGCAGGCACTGGGTATGTGCAGCCTGGGGGGAGGATGGGCATGACTGATGGCAGGCCAGGCCACCAAGACCAGGGAGCAGCACGTGCCAAGGCAGTTGTATCTGATGCCCCACCCCTGACGTCTCTGTGCTCACACACGTGGCCCTGTGCTGCTGCTCCTCATGGCAGAGTCCAGAGCTCTGTGAATTACCCTGTGCAGGGTCAAGGAGTCAGACCCAGCCAGAGGAACTACCACAGTTGGTGTCAGCAGTCTTGGCCAGGGCCACCTGTGTTGAGTTGGTGGCAGGGAGGCAGTGGCAGGGCTTTGCATGCACAGGCTGTGAAGACAGCAGGCTGGGCCTGGCCTACCCAAGGCTCAGGCAGCAAAAATTGCACAGCTGAGGAGGTTGCTGGTGTGCTGCCTGGGAGTGCTGCACACCAGGAGCTATCATTGAACTCCTGGTTTCTGACCCCTGCAGAGGCAGCAGTGAACAGGGAAGTCCCTGGCTCTTGAAGTTGAAGGGGGCTTCAGAGCATGATGCTGCCCAGATCTAGTGGTCAGTCAGTGTGAGCAGCCATGGGTTACAGGTCCTCAGCATGGGTGGCTGGAAGCCAGGCTTGGGTATAAAGCCCCTGAGGACTTCCTTAGCTCACAATGTAGCTCAGAGCTGTCTTGGAGCCTGCAGTCCTAACACAGCCCATTTTCTTCCCGGACTGGCCCAGACCCCAGTGTCCTGAGCCATGTTTTAGAGGGCCATGGGGATGCTGTGTGGGGCTTGGCCTTCAGTCCCACCTCCCAGCGCCTGGCCTCTTGCTCTGCTGATGGCACCGTGCGCATCTGGGACCCCAGCAACAGCCCAGCCTGCCTCTGTACCTTCCCCACAGCCAGCG